TTTGAAAAAGGCGACTATATTAGACTCAATAAAGAAGTGAGTGCAGCGAATATTTCGAACAGTATCATGGACATGAATGTTCGTGAGGCTCGGTCCTTTCTCAAGGCCACGGTTTAGCTCAGTGGAGGCAAAAATACACAGTGGATGAATAGTAAAGTCTCAGCTAAGCTAAGAAAAAAGCCTGCATGGATTATCTACGAAATTGCAGTTTACAGATTTTTTTCATCTGTGCACAAGAGCACGAAGTCAAGCCAGGAGTAGTTGTCGTGCTGAAGAACTTTAAAAAACTGTTGCCAAAAATAGAAAAAAAAAATAAATGAAAGTTTTTTTTGTGTGCCTGTTCGAAGCCTAGAACAAACGACGGCAGTTCTAGTGTAGAAGTAGATAAACGCAATAAATCACGCGATGCAGCAATTCAACTTGCTGCTAGTAAATTAATAGTCTCATATTGCTTCAACACTCAAAATTTGTACGTAACTCCGCTTACGACACCTCCGAGCAGGCGTACAGTTATGCACAAATTTTTGTACGTAGCTTCCCGCGCAAATGTTTCGATAATAACACTCAGTAGAGTCACGTCTACTTAGCTGTACTTACGTTAAACGTTAGCGGCTACGTATACTTAGCATGTTTTGATAATCCGGCCCCTGTGGTGAAGAACTTTAAAAAACTGTTGCCAAAAATAGAAAAAAAATAAATGAAAGTTTTTTTTTGTGTGCCTGTTCGAAGCCTAGAATAAACGACGGCAGTTCTAGTGTAGAAGTAGATAAACGCAATAAATCACGCGATGAGGTCAAGGTTAATATTCTTAATCAGATTTTAGCAGCTCCTTTACGGATGAGAACGAAAACAGTTTGCCAGTCTTTCAGTTCAGCTTTCTTGTTACGTCACGTAGATCGAGAAACGTAAACAAACCCGTCATTCCCACGACGGATTGGTTGACTGGTTTGATCGCATTTCGGTGATTGGTTAATGCCCGTAACGTCACTGAGATCAGTGACGTCACAGGCGAACAACGAGCTACATCCGCAAAAATGGGCTTCTGGTGGGTCAACCTTATACTAGTTCAACAATGCGGCAGGCCTTGTACCATAACCCTATGATCTACTTTAAATGATTAGACTTAAAATGGAAGCCTAGTGGATTCAGTGTACCTTTGCCAAAGCATTTGACAGCGTTCCACTTGAGAAGTTGTTACGTAAAGTGAAGTCCTTCGGAATAGAAAGTAACGTACTCAGAGATCTTGTGGAGCAGAGATCCTGTTGGAGGTAGACTTCAACGGGTCGGTGTCAACTGAACAGTGTCAGCCTGGGCAGCAGTGCCCACTGCCCTGCGACGTGCCACAAGGAAGCGTTTTGGGCCAGTTTCATTCGTTGCGCTTATTAACGATCTTATGACCATATGATGAGCTTAGGACTTCGTTGTCCAAGGTCAAGCTGATTCTTCGCCATCGTCGTCCTCCAGCTCCAAGTCGTCGATAGGCAAGTCGCCCCGCCCTCGGGTCCCGGATGTAACTTTGAACGTGTGCCGTCTGTTTGCCCTTCTTTGGGCCAGCTGATGTAAGATACTGTTGGTTGTCACTTGCAGAGGGTAATTTCCCACAACTGGACAATCTGCGATCTTTCACAACCACTTGTCCAGTCGTCTCTTGAATGTTGCAAGGGTGAACTCCCCTCCTTTTGGCACTTTGGCAAGGCATTAAACAGCCTCGGTCCTGCCACGGACAGTGATCCCTCACGAAGAGTCTGTACTCTGGCCGCTGCTTGGTTATTAAATGGGGGAATCCTGCACAGTCCCCCTCCTTTCGTTGTAATATATCGCTATTTTGAAGATCTCACTTTCAAAGTTGGGAGCCACTCCAGTTATCATCTTCCAAGTGTACAATATGATGTACCTATCTCTTCTCTCCAGTAAGTACAGTCCCAGGTGTGTCAACCTGTCCCAGTAACTCAGCTCCAGTTCCCACATACCGCTGATCCTGGGCCGGATTATAAAAACATCTCTACGTACACGTAGCCACTTAAGTGATGCGTAAGTGCTGCTATGAAGACGTAACTCTAGCGGTGGTATTTTCAAAACATATGCGCGGGAAGCTAGGGACAAGAATTTGTGCGTAACTGTACGTCTGCTCGGGGGTGTCGTAAGAGGAGTTACGTACAAATTTCGAGTGTTGAAGCAATATGAAACTTGAATTGTAATAGAATTTTGTCAATAATTCGACTTAGATATAATATGGGATCGTACTTGAGCACGATCCCATATTATATCTAAAAAGAAAATTTCAATTGAGTTTACGCCAGAAGCTAATTTGTTTACCTCTAGTGTTTTAATTTACAAGCAAATGTTGATATTCATTTCTAGGAGTTTATGATCATTCGCTGATATAATATCTTCATTCTTTTTTTGTTCAAAGTTATATAGAGTTTGACAAGCGAACTATTTTTTAGCTCCGTACACATATTTCTTTCTCGTACAGTCGCTGTCGCAACTCCAACTCATAAAATTTTCTAAATTCTAGGGTCTCTCTAAAAAGTCTTCTAAATTTTGAAGGGGAATAGTGCAATTTTTTGCCCTGATTGCAAGAAATTTTGGTTAATGATCACAACAAGTGCATTGCTATTTGGATAACATCTCGCTCATTTCTCCATATGCACCCTTGTCAGTCTACGCTGGTGCCGCTGACATGTCACAACCTCCTTTCATCTACGCGCTCTGCGCACTGAATCGACAGGAGGGAGCTAAGAACAACAAATTCGAAGCCTCTGATTGATCAGTTAGCCAGATGGTTTTGAAAATAGCTTTGCAGATAAGTCTTGCGTACGAACGTTTTGATAATGCTAAAATTAGGGTGTACTTACGCAACACGTATCTTTTGTACGTACATATAAAAAGATACGAAGTTTTGATAATCCGGCTCCCGGACGTGAAGGTCCGCTGGACTGACTCCAGTTTTCGCACCGCAGTACCGCACCCGTCTAAAACGTCACCAAAAGCTGGCAGCAGTACTCAAGATTGGGGAGCACGAGGACTCTGAAGAGTGTAATCATTGGTGCTGCTTCTCTCGTTTGAAATGTCCATCAGATCCAACTCATCCGTTGTGTGCTTCGAGCGACTATTTCCTCAATGTGGTCATCGAATGTGGCTTCGGTGCTCATCAACACTCCGAGATCGCGAAAAAGTTGTTTCTCCTTAATTTCTGTGCCTTCCGTCTGACTGTCTGAGGCTTCCGATGCCAAGTAGCGATGGGGCATCCCTGTCTCTGTGCTAACTCTGTATCTCATTACTTCGAACTTAGTGCCGTTGAATTGCATATTATTCACTAGGGCCCAATCGTAGATTGTCGAAGAGTCATCCTGTAACTTCTCGCAGCCTAGGTTCTCACTTCTCTGTGATACTCATCAGCTGATCAGCACTCGTGTGTCGTCCGCAAATGACAATGTAGATGCGTGGGTAAGCTCTGAGTCAATATCGGCGCTGTGGATGAGGAAGAGGGCACGGTCCTAGCACCGGGCCCTGTGTTTAGTGTGTTACTCCGCTTTTTGCTCTCGTTTCTCGATTTCTAGTTTTCAATTGCGATAGCTTGTACTCTATTTGTAAGGAAATTGTGGATCCACATTCCACCCTAACAGGCTTCCTCGTATCTCCTAGACTCCGAGTCTCCGACAGCGTCAGCTTCCTGAAGACTGTTAAGTTCACCTTGGACGTTTGCAATGTAACACATTACTAAAGTCTTGCAGTGTCAGGGACAAGCTCCTATAAGGCTATATTATTCATAGTTACAAGGTACACTCCAACATACAATAAACTGAATGTTGAATGCCACCTGCTTAATTCATTTAATTATGTACATTTTGNTAGTGACAAAGCAGAGAGTTTTTTAGACTCTCCCTCAAGTTCATTTTTGAGTCCTATTAGTAGACCAGTAAAGTATCATGGATACCAGCATTATCCTACTTAAGAAATTGGTTTAAATCTTGAATATCTGAGGAAATTAAAAATGAACTGATTCTAAAAAATCTCTGGTTTGACCAGGTTTGTCACTATGGCTACACGTTTTTTGGAAAGCTCCTTTTCAATGCTACAACATATTAGCTCTCTTAGCCTCTCTAGGTCTGTTTTTCAGAGTTTTAGAGCGCCCCAAAAAGTGCCAAAGCTAAATTGATGTACTAAAAGTTAGCGATTAGCGGTAAATTCAGCTAAATTTTTTTTGGCAATTTATCGGTTTAGCATTATAAAAGCTAACTTTCCAGTTAGCGGATTAACGGTTATCGAAGCTAACTTTTTAGTTAGCTGTATCTGCCACTGTGATCCTGTGTACCATGGTCAGGAAGATGTGCCAGGTGCGTGGGAATTTATATTGTCATTTTAACAACCTGCGTGGTGCGCCGTACTATGCTGGTAAAAAAATGCACCGTACTTTTAGAAAGCTAAAATAGTTTATATATGGACGCGCGGCAACCGGCAACGCAAATTACGTAATCACACTGACCGTACACACAAACGTGTATCCGCCTTGTGTTGTGGTTGGATCAGGCTGGAATTCTAAAATTCGTGGTTCACGTAAAGAAAGCGTTCCGCCTTAAAAAAACGTTCCAGGCAACTAGAAACAGGTTTGCAGGCCGTCAGAAATTGGCTTCGGTTACGGTAGCTATGATCGTATGAACATTAAGTCAGGGCTGTCAGGCAACACAGAGAAGGTCCCATGCAAGATTGTTAATTGCGCAATTGTGCGCATCACTCACAGTCCACAGATGAGCAAGAGGGATGGATCTACAGAAAGCAACATAGTGACAACTGAGAAACCACGGATTTTTTAGAATCAGTTCATTTTTAATTTCCTCATTTACTCATTATTTAAACCAATTTCTTATGTATGATCTAGTCTGGAAAAGTCCTATTTTTGTCTGAAATATTGCGGCTCTAATATCATATAATTTCAGTAGGTATGAAATCTCGCGGCTCGAATGAACTTTAAATACTTTCATAGTTATAATTCTTTGGTTTATATGTTCATCTCTTGCAGGTGATTAATTTGACTCATAAAATCCAAGATATAAATTACACCTGTAAGACCAACTTAATTTGCCATGAGTTCTGAACCATTAAGAAAGAAAACTAAACTTGATTGCATTGATGAGTCCTCGACTGGGAAATTCAAGGATACCTATCCATACTCGGGTAATTTTTATTTATTTATGATTTTCAGAAATTTTAAATATTAAGTTTATTATAATCTATATGTATAAATAGGTACATGATGCCTTGCTAGTTTTACTTGTACCAAGATTTAAAATGTATTTTATATGTCTAAGAAGCAGCATTCTATATATTTGGCTAAAGAATTTTCAATCTTTAAAATTTATTACTGAAAATCCCGCCAACATGCGGTCTATTTTTGTTGATATTTTAGTAAAGTTTGAATTCTAATTTCAATCATTAAGATAATTTTGATTGCTTAAATTTTAGTTAACTAATTGTTTGTAGGTACTTTTGTTCTAGGTTTTTTAACTGACAATGTGGAGCTGCACTCCAAAAGATTTCTCTCATTAGAAATGGTGAAATTTTTTACTGTTTTCAAATGTGAAGCAGAAAAAGGTATGTGAAACTTGTTTTGATATGAAACATTTATATATTAACTCAATTTATCCATTATTTCTAGGTTCCTGTCGTGCTTTTGGAGGCAGTGACAATTTACCAGACAACATTCTTGGGGGTGAATTTCAAATCCTCGATGAAGTTAATGAAGATGACAATGATGGTGAGCTCACTTGTGCACTAAGTGGTATAGTACCTGAAGTTCATACCAAACCACTGTTATTTTGATAATAGGTACCGTAGTTCATATTAAAATCCTATGTCTTAAGGTTTGAGTGCAAAGCTGAACTGTGCAGTTAAATTGTGAGCAATGGCAGATATATATAGCTATTTGAAAAGGTTTGAAACGTTGATGTGGTCATTATCTTAATTTTTTCAATTCTGTTTGCTCAATTTAACAACAAATAGATGGTTGTTATATGATTAAGTATGTACTATGTTATTGATTTACCTACACGAATTTCAACTCAGAATTTGAGAATTTGCTTATGTCAGTTAACCCATGAATAATTTTTCAATGTACATGGCATCTTTTTTTCATCCAAATGAAACATAGTATTTCATTTAGAGTTTGTTTCTCCCCATTTGCAGCTATAGTGCTGTTAAGATAGTCTCCTTTTTCTTTGGTTCCATAGTTTTAGTTTGTTTAACAAATTGTTTTTCACTTGAATTGAAAAATATTATCTCGTACTCCATTTTTGGATGAGCTGCAAACATAAAAATTTCTTCTCAAATTTTCCTTGGTATAAAGTTCATTAGTTTCATTGATTGTTTTATTGAAATTATATATTGAAACTGTTTCAATATATAATTTGGTTTCTGCTACATATACTTGAATTTCAATGGAAATTACTATTGATGTGCAGATGAAGGAACTCAATCTGACAGCTCTGACGAGTCTAGCATGTCTTATGAGATTCCAAATGAAGAGATCGATGCTCTTCTGGAAGAGGGACTCCCTGGGCAGGGCGGTAGCAGCAACAGTAAAGATAAGAGTTCTCCGCATAAGAAGAAAAACGATGATGATGCAGAAGTTGATACTAACCAACAGCCGCTCTTCACATACGTCCACAAAACTGTCATCCCATGTAATATTATTCTATGCATGATTAGCTATATTTTGTTAACAATATTGAAATTTCCATTCTATCAAATTCAGAATAAAAGTGTTAGTTTCTGAGTAAGATATCTTTATAGTGTTGAGCTGCTAAATTACTGTAAATGTTACAATCATGGGTTTAATTGTTAATCATCCATAGGTTGTTCTAAGATATTCATGTATTTCCTGTAACTGAAGAATCAGAATCTTACTTAATCATAGAAACTCAGCTATCTTGTGTTGGAAATAACATTTTCTCAGCAATCACTATCTATATATTTGCTTTTCAAGATTATATTCTCCCGCAGGCAGCGATGACTTGTATGGACCGTTTGACCGTCTGCCTGAAGGCTGGGTCATGATCACGCATGCCAGCGGCATTCATGTATATCTGCACCGGGGGACTCGAGTGTGTACCTTGAGTAGGCCATACTTCATAGGGCAAGGCAGCACCAGGGTAAGTTTCTCGCTTCATTTTTGTACTTCCCTCGTATGCGGGGCTTGTCAAATTCTGAGCCATCGTGCTCAATTTTGTTGATATTTTTGTCTTTATTTATTCTTTTATTTTTTTTTTTCAAGATACAGTTTGATGTTTCTAATCATATGACGAAGCATGAACTGGTATTGGTCCACATGCACAGCTAGCTAACAACTCAGAACGTAAAATTTGTGTTATCAGTTAACCCATGAATAATTTTTGACTATACAAAGCATTTTTCCGTCACCTAAATAGAACATTTTAGTATCGCCGTTTCGTTTTCGCCGCGAAAAAAAAAAGCCTGAAAGTTACTTGTAAATCATTCTTTCTCCCATTGTAATCATTTCAAATTCTGAACTTCGGCACTGGAATGCTATGTACAATGTATTGCAACACTTGATGCCTCTATACCAAAAACACACAATTTGAATGTTCAGACTCTACTCCGTCTTGTTCTCCCTTTCTTTAACGATGCTCAAGCCGTGACTCTAATAAAAGCGCTGAATTTGTAGCGGTAAATTGTTCGTGTTTGTATGACCAATGAGCGTTTATCAAATTAAAATTAAAAGAACATTTTGGCTTGATTATGCTTATCAATATTTAATAGAACGAACAAATTTTGTTTATGTTTAATAAAATTCCTAGAAATAGCATTTGCATTTGCAAATTTCGAACACAAACTATTTTTATAGAATTTCGAGTACTATTGAAAAAATTTTTGTGAAACTTTTTCTCAACACTTATAACGAGCTTTGCTGGTCATACACAGTTAAATGTTTCAAATAAATTTATACTTGTCATTTTTTCATCAGCGCCACGATGTCCCTTTGAGTGCAATTCCATGCCTCTTGCATAAAAAAAAGAAGGAAGAGCGAATGAAAAGATTGGCAGAGGAAGAAAGTCGCGCCAAGAAAAGCGAGACTTCCGAGCTATGTGACAAAGAAAGTAGCGTCAGTGTGGATCAACCTAACACTACCGACAACTCAGCTTGTATAAATTCTAGCTCATCAAATTGTCCCATGTCTCAAATACCAGAATTTTCCAACCAACCAGTTTTATCAACCTCGTCAAACGAAATCACCAATGAACAATCTTTGACAGCTCGTGAGAGTTCTCATTCAAGCTGTGCTTCAGATTTACTGCGTACGGGGATGTCTGAGAATGAAAATTCGAACAGTACAGGAGATGAATGTGGCAAAACTACAACACCCTCAGACCTCTCACAGAAGACGAATCCTGACAATTCGGAGACACCAACAATAAGTTCATTGGAACACTCCCCCGAAAGCAGTGGAAACCTTAATGCTATAGCATCAGATGCTGCAATTGTAACAAGTACGACATGTGGTAATACGAACCCTGACGATAATTCCAATGCAGAGTCTGTTAAGATTAACGCTAAAGGAAAAGAGCGTTCAAGCACTTTCAACACGGCACTTGCGGTCGCTCTTAACATAGAGCCTGCCAATCCCCCACCGACTGCAGACCAATTGCCTGGATCCCATCAAGTGACTTTTGAGCGGCCCGTTCTTGCAGTGGTCGAAGCTCAAGAACTTAATGCATATTGTTCTAATTTGTTCGAATTCAAAGTTATCCTTGCCAAAAAATTTCCTAGCTGGAATTGTCGGCGGAAGCATGAAAAACGTATGAAGAAAATCCAGCCAATGCTTCCAGAAGGAACCAAGCTTCTGTCGCTGAAACCGAATACCAACCCAGAGGAGGAAATGGCTTTTAAGAAGAAAAAGTGGCTACTGAATCCCGCGAATCGAAGCAGCATCTGCATACTACACGAGTACGTTCAGTACGTTATGAAGACCAAACCGACTTATAAGTTCAAGGAAGTTGACAACGCCTCTTGCCCGTATGCTGCTGCTCTTTTCATTGATGGTATGGAGTACGCGACTGGCTATGGCAGCAGCAAGAAGCTTGCCAAAGCAGAAGCTGCTGCTGCAACATTGAGCATTTTGGTGCCGGAATTAGGCGCCAAATTCCAAAGCAACAAAGATAAACCCGATGACTCCGACACAACTTTCTTTGATCAAATCCGCATTGAGGATCCGAACGTTCCTGAACTTTGTAACCGAATGAGTGAAGTGCCTCCGTATTCCTTGCTCTTGGTTTGTCTTCAGAGAAATTATTGCATGGATAACAACAACATAACATGCCAACTCATCCCACACAAGGGTCAGAAGAACGAGTTTGAAATGACGGTCGGTAAGCACACAGTGCGAGTTCCGTGTAAGAACAAGAAAGAAGGTAAGCAAAAAGCATCACAGGCGCTGCTGCAAAAACTTCATCCGCATATCGTCAGCTGGGGTTCGATGCTGAGACTTTACGGTAACAAGTCTCTCCAAGAACTCAAAGCCAAGAAAAAAGAGGAACAAGAAGTCACCAATCTACAGAACAACGCGACCGCTAACCAGCCAAATTACTCTATCATAAATCTATTGAAAAAAGAGATGCTCAAACTGCACGCAGAAAGAGTAAGTACAATTTTTAGGATTATATTCTACTTAACTCTGTACCAGAATAATGTCTATTATAACTGTTGCTACCTATTTATAGCTTTGAAAATCAATTGTCTTTAGCCATTTCTGTGATTAGAGGGATGACTTTTTATTAGAGATATTGTTTTTACTTACATTGCATTTTCACAATAAATCATATATTGCTAACATATTTACTAACATTTGTTCTCATCATTATTTTATAGTTGAAATTATCACCGCCGATGTATTAAGTGGATATTTCTCACCTGTGTTCATTTATACGTGATAACCTATTCTTTACTTTTCAGTTGGCCATTCGCCCAATCGGTGAATTTATTCCGCCTGAAAACATAAGTCTTCCTGTGCCTTCAAGTACGGACTTGAACACACTTGACATTTAAGGTTAGTTAACCATAGCGTTGCCGTGCAATATGTTTAAGAAATTATCCCATTTTTGAGCGTAATGACGTTGAATTGTATAAAAAGTAATATTCGGAGATTATTTCGACATGTGTGCGTACCGAAGATTTCAACACGGTGGTATATTCTATTGCTGCTCGTACAAATATACAGCTCTGAAATACAAGAAAATGTTTCCTAATCGACGTGTCATTTATACATTTACGGATGGCGTAGCTTGTAAATTTTGGTGTAGTCTTTGGCTTTGTATTTAATTTCATGTATTCGACAGTGCCTGCGATGCAACCAAGTTGGAGAAAAAAATATAAAGATTTTCTGGGAGGACACGGGTTCCGGTACTCGCTCCTGACGTAACACCTGCTTTGGTTATAATTAATTCAATTTGGCAGTTTTAAAAGTAAGCTTCATGGAATTAACCGGTACATATATAGGCACTCGAGCCAGGCGTGATCTTCCAGGTTTCTGAAGTTTACTATTGATTCCTGTATCAACTGTGCTAATTATTGGTGAACCTTAACAACTGCTTGATTAATGATACGCCTAGTCGCCCTAGTGTTAGTGCTTCCATTAGCGTTCAAGCGTGTGATCTCATCATCTCAAGACTGCAAATTGCTATCGGGAAGATATACCGCTAGATACTGCTGTACAGTAGAAGAACTGGAAGAATGTCACGAGGAACTTAGACAACTCCATGCGGATAAACATGAGTTATGCATCTAAAAAACAACCCAATCTAGAAACCAACGGACCCGGCAAATCCAAGCTCTCGGCCGAGGAGAAGACGACTTTCAAGCTGGAGATGACGGTTATAAGATCCTAGAATTTATGCAGCTAAACGCGAGATTGATAGAGCATGTTGAGGTTAAAATCGAGATCATAAGAAAATACGTTGAAGACAAGGATGCCAACAGAAGAGAGGATCAAAGAAAATTGCTCGAGTCTAACAAAAACTTGAGAGACAGGGAAGTACGGGAAAGGAACGCACAACAGTTTGTATAAGACTTAACTGTGGAGTTAGATGACCTTAAAAGCCGGATGCGTGAACTAAAATTGATTGAAGAACAGAGAAGGCAGGAACTAAACATCGAATCGCTTGCGAAGATGAAGGAATTGAAAAATATTGCAAAGATAAGGGGATTGAGTTCAGAGTGTTTCTTCGGTGGTTTTTTATTCTTTAAAATGAGAAATGATCGTCACTTGATCCATGAAGAATAGTCGCTGGACGACAGCGTGAAGTTTGGTTATCTTCTGCAGGGACAAAAGGATGGAAGTACAGCCCACCCACGGCAGAAAATTATAGCAAAGTGATTGCAGCATTCAAGGAAACATACGACGATAGAGGCCACCTGATGCAAATATAAGTGAGGGAACTGCTGAAGCTTGTCATATCAAATGCTACTAAGAAGGACAAGCTGCCACTTTCACAATTACGAATTAAGTTTGTCGCATTGGAATGCTCTGAAATCCCTGGAACTGGATAAAGCAGAACCGGAAAACTGGCTCTTCCCATTGACTGAGCCCTCGCTAGACAGACGTTTTTGTAGCTTGGGAATGCTCTGAAATTCCTGGAACTGGATAAAGCAGAACCGGAAACCTGGCTCTTGCCATTGACTGAGCCCTCGCTAGACAGACGTTTTTGTAGCTTGGGAGAGGTGCCAACGATTAACAAGTTCTGGAGAAAAGAAGTCCCACAGCTAGTGTGTGGTCTTGCTGGCCAGCATGCAACCTTGTAGTAATTTGTGTGTTGCTAGAACGTGCTGAAGCTTAGTGAAATGTTCAATGTTGTGATAATCATATCATATCATTGGTGCTGACAATTGAAACTAAATATTCCTGCATAATAAACCAGTCTATTTCTGGTTGATCTTCTTCGGAAAATAACCTCTGAACGATACAATATGTTTAACTTTGAACTGGATCATTCGCCACGATCAAGGCAGATAAATGTTCAGTTCGAAAAAAAAAAACATTTATTAAATTCAAAGACAGCAGCGCGTTCTACTCGCGAGAAAAGGCGATTCCATTTATAATTTAAACCTTGCGAGCGGGGATGACATGAAAAATAGATTGGAAACATACACGTTTTATCTCTGTGGAGCCACAAAATCCTTTCTACATTTTAGGCGTAGGGCCGCGGCTCCGCCACAGAAATATCTCGTACTTTTGGGCTGGAACGACGAACACATACGCGTCAATTGGTTTAGCATACGAGCTTACCGTTTGTAAATCTAAAAAATCTAGCTTACTTATAAAATATGCTCTTCAAATTCCGTTTCACATTAATAAATGAGATTGTCACGAATTGATTCAAAATTGCATGTTAAAATTTGAGCCCACCGAAATAATAAATTTAGTTCCCAATAGTTACTTAAAACTAAAACTAGCATAAGTCGCATAAACGAACTACTTCAAATAAGTTGAAAGAAATCTAGGTACTAAAAAGTCTGTGATTCGCCGTTGTCCAGTAATTTAGCCGGGGAATTGTGTTAGTCGCTAAGAAATAAAAATATACTAAGAATGTATGGCATATGGAAATGTACTAATAATGAACATTGAAGCAAATTACGTACTACTGAATATAAAGCGGCTAGAAGTTTGAGAAGAATACTCATTGAAATCACTCTGCCAATAGTCCCTATCCTGACCATCTTGACTTGTGAATTTCACTCAGAAGTCGAGCTTTTATAATTTCTATGACCTCCAGGCACATTAGTTATTTCAAAGCTATGATGAGATTACATATTTAAAAAAACCTTTAGCTTCACGAATTCAAATTTGATGTGCGCGGCATTACACAATAAAAGCGATGTCAGAAAAATACTAAAATCATTTGGTACGCTCGCCATGTCTCTAGCCTCCAAATTGTTGTAGAAATTAACCCTTAGCTTACTAACTGATGTAACGGTAGAGAAAAAAAATAATTGGGTTGCAAATAATCCGATAGTTGCGTAATATGAACGGAGCCAGTACCTGCTCAAATCATCTCGAATATCGTAGAATAAAAGTGTCCAGAGCACAAGGATAGCACAAATAACCTGAATAAGCAACTAATAAAATTTAGAAAACTATTCTGCCCGACGAACAGTATTAAAATAGATGGCATTATCATATTTTCCACTTAACTATAATTACATCTAAGTAACACACACTACGGAAGGCATTGGAGGAAGGCACTCGTGTTTTTTATTACTTCTACTCATAAGGCAGGTTAAGACTTCGGTTTCACTAGTTGCGTTCAACTATTCATGAAAAAAGATGTCCAAAATTAATCGGTCAATGAAGATAGTATAACAAATTCATACCGAAAACGTTACCAATTCAATAAGAGAAAACGACAAACCAAATGCATGAAGGTATCTTCAATACATACTGCAACAGCGTATATTCGAGAGGTTAGAATTGAGCAATATTCAGCTCATCAATAGCTTCGTTAAGTTCGTCTCACTAGTATCGAACATGCTTACACTGAAAACGTTTTTTTTGAGGAAAAACCATACGAGACAAGAAGTCTATTGGTGAAGAACTGGGCGCGCAACCCGATATTCAACATAGAATATTTCACCGACGCCTTTCAGCTACACTTACAACACTTAAGGGAAGAACTTAACTAGACAGCTAGCAACAGCTTCAAAGTAACAGTACATTATTGCCAAAAGCTTACACACAAGCCTAGTTACATGTTGGTAGAATATCAGTACTTTTTCATGCAATTGTATGTAAAATTTGCATGATGAAAGGAATCGTGGGACAGTACGAAGGAAAAACACGAAATCTCATGAATTGTCTTTTACTGCTGATGCAGAAAAAGAACCTGATAATGGAATATTAATGCAAGAAAACAGACAATTTGGTATACTTGGCTCGATGTGCAGGAAACTAGCAAACGGATCAATTAATGTTATTTGGAAAAATTACAAAAGCTACAAAAGCAAAGAATGATAAAATAAAAAACTTGACATACACGTAAATTATAAGTAAAATGCCAAACTTAGCCGTGTGACGTAGCCTAAGGAACAAAACTAATGCCAAAAATGGCATCGATGCCGGTGATGGCATCGGTGCCGGTGATGATGCCAGTGATGCTGCAGCAAAAGTCAGCGGCTTCATTCTGCAATTACAACGGTAATTAGTCTCAAGATGTAAGATAAATTGCTTTTTTAAACGCTGTAAACTATAACAGAATGCTATGCATAGGCATAGCGTTCCTACAACCTGGCAGATGGAGGCATTTAAAAATCAAACAGAACAATTCCAGAAGAATAGAGGACTATGCCATGTCCGAATTATTATAATTCGATAGGGATGCGAAATCCTTCGTATTTGGGATAGCGTCATAGAGCCCATTACTTCGTAGCGTAAAGCACGTTACCACGTAATTCAGATTGATATTTGTTCAAGTGAACCGAACGAGTTAGAAGTCGAACCGGTGAAAATAAAGCTTAACTTTGATCAATCGCTATAATGATTAAAATAGAAAAACTACATAGCAAATTCCAAGTCCGGTATTTTGAGTAATGTGCCAAATTAATACACAAGGTTAAATGAGCTCTGTTAGAAGATTTTTAAAATACCTTATTTAACCGTGAGAATTAACAAACTTGTTTATGATGTTAGTAAAAAATTAATGTTCAAGGCACTAAACTAAAACTCACACATACGCTGAGGAAGTGAATGATCATGAAGTTCGAGCTCGGTTATTCAGAAGCATCAAGGAGTGCACGAGCTTCGTTTATGACATCTTCACTGACAGGCACGTCATTGGGCAAGATTGCGTCAATGTCGTCAGTTCCGGTAGCCATGTCCTTAGTAGCTCTCTTTGGTCGCTTCTTGTTCTTCCCCTTCAGGTGAGTGTCGAGATGCTTCTTGAGGATGTGGCGAGTGAGAGCCTTCTTTGAATCTGTACGGAAATCGCACGAGTCGCAGCCGTAGTTGCGTTCGCCAGTGTGAGTGCGTTGGTGGAGATACAAAAGCGACTGATAGGGGAACATTTTGGAGCAAGTGTCACATTTAGGCAGATTAATGGGACCAATCTTAGTAGGGTGCCCGTTGCGCAAAATGATATCCTCCAAGTCACATTCAGGATGTTTTTCACAGCAATGGATGATGATATTGGCCCGTGCCCACTCACGATGCTCGCACTCAGTGCAGGAAAATGGCTTTGCCTCAGGATGCTCCTTGAATTTATGCGTTTTGAGCTCGTAATTTCCCGGAAATACGGTATTGCAGAGCTCGCACTTGAATTCTTTTTGGGGCACGTCAATAGCTACTTCTTCGACGGAACCATCCGTGATATTCACCAATTTAAGGATGAGTTTGGCGTCGGGACAATTAGCGTGCTTTCGGTGAATGTGATCGCGGACCGTCATTTTAGTGGTAGCGTGGAAGTCGCACTCGCTACAGCTAAACGGTTTGACACCGGTGTGAGAACGCAAGTGAACCATGTACTTCCAGTTGTCATTGAAGACTTTGGAACAATATGAACAAGTTGCTGTGAACTTGCGAATTTCTCGAGGTTTCTTAGAAGCCGTTACAACCAAGTGAACTTTGCTGCCATCGTTGTTATCAAGAGACACAATATGCGCTTTAGGGTGCTTTTCTTTGATGTGCTCCACAAGGTCCGACTTGTGAGTTGATCTAATACCGCACGCGGCGCACTCGAATCTCTTTCTGAGAATATTTCGGCGTTTTTTAGCTGGGCTGCCTTCTCCCCCCTGACTCGTTTCTTCTTCCTCCTCATTTTCAACCTTGGTTCGGCGGTGCTTGGGGATGTACTTCTTTTTTGGTTCGTCAGAATGTACGACGAGGTGAACGCTCGTCATGTGACGTTGCATGTGTTCGCGGTAGCTGGTGCTGAAGTCACACACGTCACACTCGTATGGGCGTTCGCCAGTATGACAACGAACATGACGCTCAAGAGAAAACTTGGAAGAATAAATGCGACCGCACACATCGCAGATATAGCACTGCGGAACTTTTTTCACCTTGCCCAAAGGAACGCCGTCTATCATGATGATCTTTCGAGGAGCTTGTTGCTCAAACACTTCACTTTCGTTTTTCAGTGTCTGCACAGTCAAAGCCTCAGATTTTTCTTTCTTACAGACGTGCTGCTTGATAATGTGGCTCTTGAGCTTTTCAGGGAACACTGAAGTGAAGGCACAAATACGACACTTGTATAGCTGATGTTCGTGGTCCATGAGCATGTGCTTGCGCATGTAATAGCGGTTCCGGAACACATTGTCACATTTTTTGCACTTGAAAACTTGTACCTTCACCTGTGAGAAAATATACAAGAATATATGTGAATATAAAAACAAAAAAAAATATATCAACAATTATATTTTTATAGCTCATGTTCTTCATTAGGAAGGAATCAATGCAAGTCATATCACTCTAATGAACAGCAAGCAACCTCAAGCATCAAGTCCATTCAAAGCTATTTTGAACACAATCGATTTTCTGTAACTACTGTGACAAATCAACTCGATACATCATTCAACTTGAATACCTTTGTAATTCTGAATATATACAATTGAATAAAAATCAACTTACCTCATTAGGATCAGAAGAAGCTAAAGCAGCTTCCAGATTGAAGTCTGGCTGAAAAATGATACGACCATCTTCTCCTTGTATAATTCCAGCCGAGGGCACCATTGCAGTGCATGTTGTCAGCCCTGCTGTTGAGGAGGGTGACCCAACATTTCCATCAGCTGCAGGCGATTCTGAATCACTATTGGCATCACGTTCTCCAGCAGCGAGGGCCTCCTCACCATCTAAAATCTGCTGCAGGTGCTCAACATCTATCTGCACCTCACCATCATCTTCCTCCTCCCTTTCATCATCAGCCTCTTCTTCTTCGTCTTCTTCCTCAAATTGTTCCCCATGGTCAATAATTCCATCCTCCTGGCAGTTGCCATCAAAACCAAGAATTTCCTGGGGCTCTTGCTCTTCCTCATCAATCACAAGCTCACTCTCTTCTTCTTTAGCCAGCTTTCTACCTCTCCTCGGGGAAACTTTTGGTTCTTTTGGAGAAGTCTTCTTTGGTGGCGATTTTTTCACAGTTTCATTTTTTTTAGTCTTTTTTTTCTTCTCAGGAATGTTATTATTATTGTTGTTGTTGTTATTGGCTTCAACTTGCCTCTTGGCTTTCCTGGGTGATGGGGATCGAGCAGGATGATCAGGCTCCTTGCGCTTCTTGCTTGGCGTCAAGAAATCCTTCATGGAGGACTGCTTTGGGGCAATCTTCTGCTTTCTAGGTGCCATGTTAAAGGTGCTTTTATAATAAGAGTTCAAAAAATAAAATAATACCAAAAGAAAAGAACCAAAGAAATAAATCTGCAATAATAAAATTTTACATTATTATCATACCTAAATTTTACATTAATATTATAAATAAGCCTACAAGCATCATTAATCTTGGCCATGTGCTAAGGAAAATCTCATTGAGAGAAAATTTAATAATACTAATCAAGTATCAGGTACCATACATAACTAAAAAATTGAAGCGCAAATAAAAAAAATAATAATGAGACATGCATAAACCTTACTGTGCCAGCTAGAACTATCATATATTTCAATGGCATTAGTATCAAACTTTGTAATTACTGCTGCTCATCTCCCTCTCAATATTAGTAAATACATAAAAACCCTTACATAGACCTTGAGGTTTACTGGAGTGGACTATCATATTATTACAACGAAAGATTAACTTTCTCCAAATTTTGTTCTTTGACGAAACTCGTAATGCACACAGCATGGTGCCAAGCTGTACACTGGCATTATCCATCACTTGACAATTGGAACACTAGTGACAGCAATGTAGGATATCTTTCCTTTGGCTTTCAAGTATTACAAAACATTAAAAGTACGGTAAGTGACATGTATCAATTTGAATCTTCTGGTATCGGAAATGGAATAGGTTTTTTCTTTCTTTGCTCTGTTTATTGTCATAGAAGTAGAATTGTTAGGCTCTTAGTGCTAAGTATAAATAGTCTTGAGATTCCTTCCTTCATAATGGGAATGGTATTAATTATTTGTTCAAATTACTTTAAACACTAGCAGGGCTTTTCATACAGTATCATAATATTTGGCACAATCAACTTAACCATTATTAATTGCAAAGCAGAAAGTTGGAACATTAGTCCTCTTGAAGTCATTATATGCTTGGTGAAAGAATTTAGCTAATGCCTTTCAAAATAAACTCATGAAAACCAATGGTAAAGAGTCCACAATTGAAGTGAAAGTCAGTCTCCAAAGGAATTAGTCTATTAGATAATCCTGTGCAAAATCTCTGGAGGCTCTTGTTGCAACAGCCGTTTACCCAAGGGCTGTGAGTGCTAGTCTGAGATCAAATGCAGTAACAACCTTAATTTGTTCCAACTAGGAATTCACTGCTGCCCCACAGTAGTCAATGGCATTCTGCATTACTTTGACAGCATTACAAAAACAGCTTCATACACAACCAAGATATGTGCCCATGGCATATCAAAATACTTGGAACTGAAAAATTTCTTGATAACACAGTCAACATTTTGGGACATAGCTGGTGCCTAGGCTGTCATGAAAATATGAACAACCATTACTAAAATTCCACTCTGAGATCAGTTCCAATAGCCAAAACATACCCTTCAACTCCAATTTTGCAAAATCATTTAGTTGCCAGTGCTGCAAAGATGAAAATTTTTGCCAGACTTGTATAGCAAATTGGATCTTCCTTTTCCTATGCCTTGCAGTTGGCATTGAAGAAATAAGCCCTATCTACATATTTTCTCATAGTTCACAGTCAAAGCATTGTGAAATTCTTACAACCAATGTGTAAGCAGCATATTGTATCCTCTTCCTCATCCACATTGCCGATATTGACTCAGAACTCACCCACGCATCTACATCGTCCATTGCGGACGATACAAGAGTGCTGATGAAGATCACAGATGACCTAGACTGCGAGAGGTTACAGGATGACCTATCGTCAATCTCCGATTGGGCCCTAGTGAACAATATGCAGTTCAATGGCACCAAGTTCGAATTAATGATATACAGAGTTCGCACAGAGATCAGGATGCCGCATCGCTACTGAGCATCATATGGCACAGAAATTGAGGAGAAGCAACTAGTTCAAGATCTGAGTGTTGATGAGTACTGAAGCCAAGTTTGATGGCCATATTGAGGAAATAGTCGCGCGCAGCTGGCAACAGATGGGGTGGATATGGCGGACATTTCGAACGCAAGAAGCAGCACCAATGATTACACTCTTCAGAGCCCTCATGCTCCCCAATCTTGAGTATTACTGCCAACTTTGGTCACCACTCAAGGCGGGTGCGGTGCGAAAACTGGAGGCAGTGCAGCAGACCTTCATGTACAGGATCAGCGGCATGAGATAGCTGAACCTGAACTACTGGGGAAGGCTGAAACACCTGGAACTGTACTCACTGGAGAGAAGAAGAGAAAGGTATGTACAGTGGGGGGAAATAAATATT